CCAGAAGAAGTTGCTGCTGTTTCTTCCTGTATACCCATGATATAAGAAGGCGAATCCAATCCTGAAGCCTGGACATCCTCTCCAGATGCGGGCACAGGCTACTCCTTGTATTTACTTAGTTGTCATTTGTTATCCCAGTGACCCTGGACTCCTTCGTCCCAGCCATGAGTGTTGGCCCAGAGCATCTGGTTCCTTCCTCAGTGGGATGCCTGAGCAGCTAAACCAGATTTCTCGTAGGTGTGAAGATGAACTAATACTTGCTAAGCTCTTGAAACAAGGTTTTGGCCCACAGCAGCTGCCCCTTAAAGACTGGCTATTTTTATTAGCGGTATGGGAAAAGGTCAGAACAGGACTCGGTGCATAGGAAGAATGATGTAAGCTTGTGCCGTTCTTACCATGATCATTTTTTTCAGTCAACAAAATTTTCCTAAATGGAACACCAGAGAAGATAAATAGTCCTTTCCCTCGAGGAGCCTGGAGTCGAGAGAGAAAGCAGACTGGTGAGAAGAATACAACAGGACAATAGGAGGTGGAGAGAGGGGCGGGCAAAGAAGACATGGGGAGGTGCTGGGGAGGAAACAGTGACAGCACAGACAGAGTCCACGCACTCAGCAACTCACAGGAAAACACAAATTCCCGGAGGTTGCAATTCTGCTGCTACCCCTTTGCTGACAGAGTCCAGCACTTAGGAAAGAGAGGCAGAGAGAACAAATCTGCAGTAGCATCCTTTGTGGCCTGAATCTCACGTCGGGAAGCTGAGATGGATGAGGGGGTCTGCAGGAGACAGGAGCGGAGGCTGCCATCAGAACCTAGGTGAGAGCCTGGAGAGGCCAGCAGGTGTGGGAGCTGGGGAGGAAGCGGAGCCACCTAGAACTGCCAGCCACGTGTGGCAGTGACAAGCATGGACACTCCGAAGCCTGGAGCCAGCACCAGGAGGTCTGGGTGTCCAAAACAATGTTAAATGAAGCATTCCAAAAGTAAAGTGTTCAGAGGTTTTAACTGTGCACCGTTCTGGATAATGTGATAGAATCTCATTCCACCTAGCCCCAGGTGAATCATCCCTGTTGTCCAGTGCGTACCTGCTATATACCTTACCTTCCTGTTAGTCACTTAGCTGTTTGAGGTATAAGATAAGCTGTCGTAGGACCTCCGTGCTTGTGTTCAGTAACCTTTTCCTGGTAGCCTAAGGCCACATCACAATGCCTACATCATCCACCTCACTTCCTCCGATCATGTGGGCTTCTGTCTCGCATCGTAAGAAGAGTTAGTACAATACAATAAGATATTTCCTGAAAGAAAAAGGCCACATTCACATAACTTTTGTTGCAACCTATTGTTAGACTTGCACTGCTTTGTAATTAGTTATTACTCTTAACCCCTGACTACACTAACTGGGTCATCAGTTATCATGGGTGTGTGTGCATAGGAATAAACAGTGTCCATACGACATGTTGCTATTGGAATTCTAGGCATCTGCTGACTGCTGTGCAGCTGGGGCCAGACCCATGCAGATGCTGAGGGAACCCAAGTGCTGGGCTCTAGAATCTGGAGTCGCCTTCTAGTCCACGCCAGTCCCTGGCCCCAAAGAAGAAGAGCAGAAAAGATTCTGGGATGATCAAACACATTTCCACACCACACCTGCTGTTCCACTGGGCTCTTCTGAGATGCCCCCAAAGCACACTGTCATGTGACAGACTGAGGAGCCCCGCAGGGAAAAAAGTGGCCAAGCCTCATTGCCTGGGCGGTTTGAACCTCAGTCTTCTCCTTCCTCTGGCCTCAGCAAGCCTCCAGAGCTGGTGGTGTTACAGGATTGGTGTGTGAAGCCGGTTATGCAGGAAGTCCTGCAGTAGCATCCTTTGTGGCCTGAATCTCACGTCGGGAAGCTGAGATGGATGAGGGGGTCTGCAGGAGACAGGAGCGGAGGCTGCCATCAGAACCTAGGTGAGAGCCTGGAGAGGCCAGCAGGTGTGGGAGCTGGGGAGGAAGCGGAGCCACCTAGAACTGCCAGCCACATGTGGCAGTGACAAGCATGGACACTCCGAAGCCTGGAGCCAGCACCAGGAGGTCTGGACTCAGCCCCAGAGATGGTAAAGAGGTGCCCAAGGCAAGTCGCTAACAAGGAGCGGACATGACACAGTGGTTCTCCAAGCACCCGTCACCTCTGCCAGGTGTTTCTACTTCTCAGGCAACTGTCAAAACGCATGGCAGCAGGGGTGAAAGAGCCGATATAGATGCCCACTTATTAAGTGTCTGCTGTGTACCTGGGCGAGCACCAGGTGGAAGGCTGCCTCGGGACACCAGTCCCAGGCAACTCAGTCCCTCCCGGCGTCCCTTGAATGGAGGAAAGAACCCACTGTCAGAAAACCCGGACACACTCACCCTGCCTCTGTCCGGTTGGCCAGGTAACTGACATGGGTGTTTCTTACCCTTGCAGGGGTTGTTTGTGGCCAAGAAGCAAATCTCCACAGTGTTATGAAAGAACAGAAATTCACTTGCTCACAGTCCTGAAGCCTGATGCCCCATATCAAGGTGTGGGGAGGGCCAGGCTCCCTCGGACAATCTTGGGAGAATCCTGCCCACCTCTTTCAATTTCTGGGGGCTCCCGGTGCTCCCTTTGGGTTTGAGGATGCAACACCCCAGTCTCTGCCTCTGTCTCCAATCTCTATGTTCTTTCTCTTACAAAGACTTCAGCCACTGGTTTGAGGGCCAAAAATAAATGGGCTGGTTTTTATCCTGAGACCCTTAACTTATTTATATCTGCAGAAACCCTATTTCCACATACAGCCCCATTCACAGGTGCATGGCTCAGGCTTTGGACACGTCTTTTGGGGTGTTTCCATTCAGCCTCAACTTCCTCATCCTCCCAGCACCCAACTCATTGCAGG